TATTTTGAGTAAGAAAGAGAGATGCAGACGGTGGTAACAGCTTTAGCCGATTTACGGCGAAATGGAGAAGTTCTGCTCATGCTTTGCTTCCTTTATTTCAACAAAGTAAAAGAAAACAGTCTCCGTGGCTGCTTCGCATTTCTCGTGACAAAGGGATAAAACTCAACTTCTTATTACATTTTTGACTTTTGGATTTCTCTGTATTATATGCTACTACTAGATTATTAGCACGTAGCCTTGGATTTTTTTATTTAAACAAAAAAAAAAAAAAAATACTGGACAAAAATATATAAAAAAAAATGAGTCGACCAAAATAAAAACATCGTATTGTGGGAATACGTTTTTAAATTAAAAACGTATTCCCGCAATATGTTTTTTACTATAAAACGTATAAGAGAATCTGTGTTACACTAATACAATTATATATCGTATTTAAGTTAATTAATCATAATTAAAATTCATAAAAACGTATAACATAAATACGTTTTCATAAGAAAACGTATTTTCATAATACGGTTTATTATTAAAATTAATTTTACGATTTTAGAAAATTATTCAATTGTAAAAAATAAATTTTTTAAATTATAAAACGTATTTCGGAAATACGTTTTTAGTTTGATTTTGCCTCAAATTGATTTTACCCTAAATTTTGCCCCAAATTGATTTTGACCTAATTTTTGCCCCAAATTCAAACGTATTTCCGAAATACGTTTTTTTTTTTTAAAATAAGCATTCCGAAAATCCGTTTTACTGTGCAAAAAATTTCCTGTTCAGAGTAATTAATAATAATACACCTGTTAATCGATATCAATTCAACAACATTCCACAAGCTCATATCAATCTATTATTCAAAGAAAGAAAAATCAACCACAATAATATATTCAAAATATATAAATGTCCAAATATCATTCCACATAATCCACAAAAAAAAAAAGTTCACAAAATTCCCATGATACAAACTAACTAGGAAGGAGTATATGTATTCGGAGGTCTACGATGTCGGGACCCCTTCCTATGAGGTCTATGTCCTGAAGAAGACGAGACTATGTTTGTAATAGGTGTGGCAGCTTCTTCTTCTTGACCTGATTAATTAATTATTTAAAACAAAATCAGAAAATCGACTTGACAAAACAAAAAAAAAAATAAATAATTTGTTAAGTAAAAAATTATCACCTTCTTCGTCTTCCTCATACCCGGTGTCGTCAGCGGGTTTGCGGGCACGAAGTCTTCTACCTCCACCAATGTGGAGACCTGGTCGATGCCTCGCCCGATGTGATTTTGTGGCCTGTGGAGGGACGTAGTCTTTTTGAGATAGAAGTTGACTAGACGTCCCCCCTTGTCTGACCTCTTGTCCTCCAACAGTCATAGAACTGTAGAGGATATTCTGGGCCTGGTGCCATGTAATCTGCAATTCTGGATGAGCTGTATCCAATAAATGTTCAACACCATGTAAGATGTTATAAGCCCCCTCCATGGCACCATACTGGAAATTAAATTCAAACAAATTAATATGAAACACCAAAAAAAATATAATAATAATAATAATAATAATAATAATAATAATAATAATAATAATAATAATAATAATAATAATAATAATAGAATTCATAATTTAGGAACTTACGTCACACTTTTACTGCTCGGCAATTGGTTGATAGCCGCTGTTGTAGCACAAATTATTCTTTTTACCGAGTACCGAATCAAAAGATTTGTTCCTCGAGTCGATCTCACGAAGAAGGCAGTTCGGAATTCAGCTTTGGTATCGATCACACATAATAAGAAAATAAATCCTAAACATACTAATCAGATAGTGGGTTTGAGAAATTATCAGCTAAGAAATAAGAAAAAGCATAATCTACCTAAAAAGATAAACGAAGTAAAGATGGAGAAGCTAGAGAGTCGGGGATAATCAATTCAAGTTCTATATGCATAGCCGGTACATAAATCATTCTATTCCAGATTGACGCTCTCGCTTAGACATCTAGCGGTTCACTCCCAATAACTCTTCGTAACAAGAGATTAAACATAGAGGAATAAACTCGAGCATACACCACAGGCCAATTATCCCATCCCAATAACTTTTCGTAACAAGGGACGGGTCATCGACAAGAGTGTATTTCAACCCAAAACCTATAGACTATTCAGTTACAAAATCGTCTACCTCATGTGAGCCTAAGTCTACGACTTCTCCCCTTTCGGTTCTAAAAGTCGCTAATTAGACTAGAAGGTGTTCAATCAACTAATCATAGATAATCAATATAACCAAACTTGACAACTCAATATCCAATTGTTACCAATTATGAGATCGAAGTGTCACCCTCCGATTATATCAAACTATCAAGCTCAATTTTATCAATTCCGAATTAAATCAACTAACATAAGAACGAACAATTCAAGCCCGTCAAAATGCAATTCAAACAAGAACAATCATCTCATATCCCTAGCAATAAGAATTAGCTACGTAAAATCGATTCAACACAATCAATCATTCTCTCAAAATCAACCATTTTTAGGAATTGAATAAAAAGAGAAAAACTTACAATTAATCCCAAGTTCAAGTGTTGAATTCCAAATACAAGCTTAATCCCTAATTATTAAGAAGAAGAAAAAAAATGGAAAAGAAGGGTGAAGAGAAGAGGAGAAGAGAAGAAGAGAAGAAGAAGGAGGAAGAACAATGGAGGGATGAGTCAATTTTTTGAGCTAGGGTTCCTCCCCCATCGAGCACCCTCCTCTCCTCTCGTCTACGGTGAAAAAGATGAAGAAAAACTGAGTTTGGGGGTCTTGGGTTCGATCTATTAAGCTTCCCATTCGAAAATCCACAGAAATCGCGTCTGTTACAAAACAGACCTTAGCGCCGCTAAGGGGTTAGCGGCGCTAAGCCTTCTTAGCTGCTAGCCTCTGTCCCGCTAAGCTTCCAAAACACCGCTATCCACACAGGCCTTAGCGGCGCTAAGGCCCCCGGCAGCTTTGCAAGACTTCACGGTTTGGGCTCGTTCGGGTTCGTCTGGTATCGAAATTCAATTCCGTTTTTTCCTACGCGTCGCTAACGAGCCCCTCTTTCTAATGGTGTCAGTTTCCCCAAAAGAGTCTCGAAAACCTGTTCTCACGGGGTCTCCAATCTACGCACTAAAAACGAAAAGAGAACAGAAAAAGACCGGAAAACAAACGGAAAATACCGCAACACTTAAATGAACGCAAAACACATAATAAATGACAAAAAGATCCTAAAATCATATAAACGACTCAATACGGGGGAAAAAGAACGACAAAAAGACAACGAAAAACACAACAAAATGGGACAAACAACTCCCCCACACTAAAACCTTTGTTCGTCCCGAACAAAGAGAAAATAAAAGACGCAAAGATCAAGCATGGATAGCGATGACAAACAAGAAAGGTCTCAAATTACTCAATTAAATCGAAAAACATTCAAACGGCCACAAACCACATGCTTCAACTACATACTCAGTTAAAGCAGTTTGAACGACAAATCTCTCGATAATGGAATATAGGGATGAGCGTCACTAAATTTCTTTCATGAATATAACGAGGTACGCTCCACTTGGTCGAAATTCAAGTTTCACTGAGCCTTGCCTATTGTCTAATTCCTACTATCAAATAATCAAAATCATGAACTAGCAGATCAAGAGGACTTGACGGGCTGTAGTGTAGGCTCAAGGTAACAAGAGGAATCTAAAATTGTCAAACGGCTACAATAAATAATCTGAAAAAGTCATGCCACTCAACATAATCAACATATAACTACTTCCTTCACCAAAATTCTCCATACACCACACGCACAAGCTCAAATCATAGTGCACTACATAAACTTGATCGTTTTATTTATTTTTTTTGTTTTCTCTTTTTTTTTTTCTTTTTTTTCTTTTTTTTT